AGAGAGAGAGAGAGAGAGAGAGAGAGAGAGAGAGAGAGAGAGAGAGAGAGAGAGAGTTTGCATCCGTCGGTTGCCTCCACCTTTTTACTGCATCAGCTGTCGCGTTTGGTTTTGCGAGCGTCGCCGCAACAGGTCATCTAGTGCCAGTGAATGGTACACACATAATGTGAAGGGCTGCCCCCCCCTTAAAAAACGTGAAGGGCTCCACTTAAAAAAAATTAAAAAATGAGAAAAACAAAGGGAAGAAGCTGCAAGAAACAAACCTTCTTGGGAACACATTAATCAAAAGTGGAGGAACATGATGTAGGGAGCCGACCAGTCAGAGAAGGAAATGAAAAATGCAAACAGTGTTATCAAGATCTTCTCTGTCAGCTGCTCGTGTGTTGATAGAAACAACGAAACTGAAGATTAACAGAGTTAGATGTCACTAGTACGTACCTGTGGCTGTATGGTACACGTGTGACCATGGATGAAACACTGAAACAGGTTAAGAGTTCAGATCCTGTTTAATGCAATGCTGCTAGGGCCTAGGCCCCCCCCTTCGCCCTCCCCCCCAATCAGAAATCAAATGACCTGTGTGTGTGTGGCGATTGCACTGCGGAGGATCAAAGTGTCTGTAATGACCTGCAAAATCGCAGACTGAGGAACTTGCTGTTTTCTGAGATTTACCGCTTGTTTAACTGACTTGCAGAAATTTCCGTATTCTGATGAGATTTCTAAGTATGTATGTGTGCATGATTGCTGAGTTTCCGTGCACTTGCCTGCCTGTATGATTGCATGTGTGCGTATGTGACCCGCTGGGAACCTGTGTGCTAGAAAGGCCCGACGGCCTGGTACTTACCTGTGGCTGTGTCAAGTGTGGGTTGGTAGGGGTAGGCCCACGGTAGGCCCGCGGAGGCTAGAAACACTCAAGCAGCGGTAGGTTGGCAAAAAGGTAGTACCTTTAGAGGCCGAGGTAGAATTTAGGAGTCCGGTAGGCTTAGAGGCAGGAGAATATCGGACTGCAATGATGTTCCCTCCAGAATGTGGATTTACCGGGTAGACTTGGAGGCCGCATGGCCAAGAAGCAAACGTGCGAGGAGGCACTTCGCTGTTAGATCAAGCGTGGAGGCAAAGGGCTCAGCCTCATTTTCGGGTGTGCAGCTTGGAGGCATGCTGCGGAAGTGACCACCCAGCTGAAGCAGCGCTGGGTGAGGCCTTCCACCTCGGCTATGGTGAAGAGGACCAAGGAGGAACACCGAGGGAGGAAGAAGAGGAAGGAGGAAGAAGAAGGAGGAGGAGGAGGAGGAGGAGGAGGAGGAGGAAGAAGAAGGAGGAGGAGGAGAGTGAAGAAGGAGCATACCTTGGTCATGGTGGTCTGCATCTTCATCTTCTTGGTGGGCACTGCACCTGGCAGGCCCCAAGTGGGGTGATACCTTGAAGGAAGACTCCGGGGGTGGAAGTAGGCATGGCGGCCATAGTGAGAGAGACATAGTAGCTTTGTGTTGTCCTCTGAACATCGGATCCTAGCTCCGATGGTCCGTCATTGGCACCGGCTCTACCAATTGGGTCAGGAGGTATAGGATGGCTATGGTGGACTTCTTTACAGGCTGGCAGTAAGAGGGGGATTCGGAGATTGGTTCTGGCTCATTCTTTCATTGATGTTATTTATTATTATTATCAATGAGAGGTTGGGGGAATTTTGGAGGATGAAGATGGTGGTGAGTTGAAGGGGGATTGACATTGGTCCTTGCTGGTGTTCATCTTCTTTGTCTTCTTCTTCCTCTGTCTATTTCTCTTCCCAATTTCTTTTATTTCAGTTGCAATTGAATGGCATTGTCTTTCTTTTGTTTTTTGCACTGTAAGATAGCTACCTTCTTCCCCCGAATACAACGTACGGTCATTATAGCTGTATTTGAGCCATCTTTCAGTCTAGATACAGCTATAATGACCATACGTTGTATTCGGGGGAAGAAGGTAGGATCATAACATGTCACACATCCTGTGGGCACCATCAGGGCTGTTATGCATCCTCTTGGATTACGCAGGATGTCCAACTGAGGGAAAGTAACCAAGCTGTCACACCCGTCTCGAGCTTCTCGCCCCATGTGATGTGAACCATCACATTGACCCCTGTGAAGCCAGAACGAGTCGTGCCGCACTACGAACTGAAGGGTCGTAAGGCTGAAGTTGGACCTGATGTGCCACTGAACTTTGCCTAAAATGGAGCACCTGATCTGTCACCAGCCTTCTCCCTCCGGAGCATCTGATGCGCTACCCACCCGACATTGCCGAAGATGCATATGGAGGTGTCACATTTTTTACCAACTTATTTCTCACATCAGCGTTGGTAGATACTCCGGAAGCTGCTTTCGCTTTTGGTATCTGTCTATTATGTCTAATATCTATCTATGAAGCTAAAGAATAAGTTGAAGTACTGAATCACCTTCAGAGCCCAATGGCCTGTGTGGTTATGGTAGGTTGAAGGCATTCACGAAGAGCGTGGTTTCTTTGGATTTAGAGAATTCCCACATAAAGTCTCTGAGGATCTCGGACAGCTCGATTGCTCACTAGAGGGCGAGTTAGCGGCCGTAGTTTTAGTTTCATGCTGATAAACTACTCGTTACAATCCATCCTTTGTGCGGGTAGTCTTCTTTGAGACTTTTGCTTAGAAACCTATAAGCGCATAAGGACTTCATACTTCGGAGTTCGGACCTAATTTGGCCTGTGTGTCGCTTGGTTAATTTTACGCAAAGTAGACCTGATCTGTCACTCGACTTTACCGAAAAAAGACCTGATGTGTCACTTAAATTTTTGCACAACCTATACCTTTCTCGGCCTTTTGGCTAAGATCAAGTGTAGTATGTGTTCTGATCAGTTAAATATCTGATCCGTGGTCCATTGGGCCACATGATATTAAATTTGTGCAAAACCTGTTAAGGGTATGTGGAGTGTCTGCTATGAGAAAGATGAACAGCAACAACCTCTCCCGGACTTTGTGGAATGTGACTGTTCATCTTTTGTGGAATGTGACTGTTCATCTTTTCTCCTAGCAGACACTTCTCATATGCCTGACATGTGCCCTGTCTGACTGATTCTCTGCACAAGCTTGTGCGGATTGACATAAAAGTGCTTGACCTAAATAACTAAGGCAAGCATGTTGTTTCATCGCTGTTGGTTTTGTCTTGTTTCTATTTCATTATCAGAGGGCATTGCCGATTCGACTGATTCATGTCTCCAAAGGGCAAAGCATGGGTGCAAAGGTGCTAACTCAGGAGTATGCTGAGAAATTGTCGCGATATTGTGGATTTGACGAAGTGCAGATCAGGCCAAACCCGAAGAATGTGAGGCAAGTTAAGTGCTCTCCTTCTCTCTGTAATTCACCTGCTCTCTTTCCTTTCCTTTCCTTTCCTTTTTTGGGGGTGGAAACTACGCGCGAGTCACAAAAATGAGTTATAATTGCACTATGGGCCAAGATACAGTTTCGAATTGCAGTTTGGGCAATGTATACAACCCAGCTTCCTGGCCAGGTAGGGTGCCCGAAATGCAAGTGCGAACTGTATCTTGCCCCATAGTGCAATGACAGCTAATCTTTGTGACTCTACTGAAGTGACCCTTTTTTTTTTTCAGTATAGGATGGTATGGCCGTGGATCCGTTCTATTCTGTGGAGCCGCAGCCCGGTTCCTTTACGACCGGCTGATAGCACTATACTCTCGCCCACTTTCCCTCTTTTTTTACGCCCAGAGGAGCCTCCATTGATTGCTCCCATGTGGGAGGATTAATTGCTGGATACTCCCATACGGATGTGAAAAAACCCTCTGAAGGAACAACCTTCTCACAGAATGAATCATACCAACATATCGAAGACAGGGGATGGCCTGTTCCTCTCAACAAATTACCTCTTTTGCCTGAACAAAACTTATCTAACTAGAAAGTATAGAAACAGAACACCTAGAGTTTTGCCTGTTGGCCAGACGGAAGGAAACAAGAGAGTGTCGATATTGTCTTTTTGACTTGCCGGTGGAATTGGCGTACTATTCTTTCGCCTTTTACTAAAGAATACCGTGGGGTGAGCACACTAAGCAGCTTACGCAAATTTTTCTTTTTTTTTTCTTTTTTTAAAGCTTTGCAAGGAACATGAGTATGGACGAAGCACAGAAATCCAGAATGCAAAATCACACTGAAGTCCAAGTATTCAAAGCCAAAGCAGATAGCACATGGAACCGAGTAACCATCCCATTGAGAATGATACAGAAGAATCGTGAGTCAATGTCCATGCCCAACAGGGCAACACMAACAGCATAACCCAAATGTAGCTCTCTCTCGTGAATGGCGCCAGGCGCCCTATCTACTCTACAGCCTATCCTACAACTACAGCAATGAACAGCAACCAGASAACTTGACTACCAGCRAGTGATGATGTYAACACCAATGCCGTATTCCACCATCACCAGGTACGTGTCATCTTCCCCACACTCTCCCTTGTTACCCACACAGCGCCCTTCACCTCCGAAGTACCACCTTCGCCCTCACCTCCCCTGCACCCTCTTGCGGCCCAGGCTATGGCCGCCAGTGCCCTCAGTGCAGGCAGCGCCCTAC